AGCCAAACCAGGTACTTTGATGTGCTATGCAGCAGTCTAGCTAGACTAAGTGCTTGTTCCCCAGAATATTTCATTAAACAAGATTCTGCTTATTATGATTTATATAATATTCATATAATCATGTTCATAGTATGTACTCATATTATGTATATTAGTATCACAAATAAAAGGAGATTTTTAAGTTTTCTTTTAGCCAAGAACAGGAAATTAATGTTCTACACATCTAGAAATATTGACAATGTAAACCCTGTAACACCTAACTCCAGTAAAAATGGGGCTCACATACTGAAAACCAACAACAACATTTGCTGATAAGGATGTGGGGAATGGGGAACCTATTCCACTGCTGGTGGGACTGCAGGCTGGTGCAGCCTCTATGGAAATCAGTATGGAGAACACTCAAACAACTGAAAATCTGCATACCGCACAATCCAGCAATAGCACTTTCAGGAATATATTCAAAAGACCTGTTACATGAGAAACCTACATGCACCTCTACGTTCATAGCAGCACAATCAATAACCGCAAACACATGGAAGCAACCGAAATGCCCATCAACAGAAGAGAGGATAAGGAAACTATGGTTCATCTACTCTATGGAATACTACTCAACTATTAAAAAAAACAAAATGCATTTCTTCATGGCCAAATGGGCCTAGCCGGAAACCATTATGCTAAGGGAAATGAGCCAATTCCAAAAGGTCAGATATCCTATGTTTGCCTTAATATAAGATAATCCGATGTCAAATCTAAAAATAGTACCTGTAAATTGTATATTATCACACCTCCAAACTGTCTGTACTACACGCAATAAGACATTGCAATGTAACCTATGAATCAATAATTAATGAGAAACAGATCGCAAAATAAGAAGAAAATGTAAACCCTACATCTCTCCAAAAAGGATTTCGGTGAGGAACAGCTATGATTTGAAGTTCCTTAATAATTATCAAGTCACTTGGAAATAGATCTGAGATTTGTCCCATACACTTTGAGTAACGATAGGACAGCCTTATTAAAGTCAGAAACCCCACCCCTAAATCACACTAGTCCACTTTTGGATAAATGGTGTTCAAGCGAAGCCTTGGATTTATCTAGGCTGTTTCTAGAAATTCCTTTCTTTGGGCTATATTTGCCCTAAACATTTATAATCAGAAGACACAGTGGCCATGCTTTTCTAAAAGGAGTGCAAGCTGTGTCGGTGTCCTGGGCTTGAAGCATAGTTTAAATAAGCCATTTGGTTTATGGTGCATACAAGAAAGATTTTACAAAATCTAATCTTTTCTAAACCTGTTATGTTCTTTGGTCAGCAGAGCTTCCTAATTGTAGCTATTAGTTCTCCTTTTTTTGTGGTCTGCTCTGTAAATAGACTATTGAGTGTTCAGTAAATTAAACCCGCCCAGCAGCCAACACATCGAGACAGACGTTAAATCATAGCCTGGCGGTCTTTCTCGTTCATTATTAGTATCTGTGAAACAGCTTTTATGCACAGGGACAAGATTTAGCACGACACACATTTGTGTTATTCTCAAGTTTCCATACTGTACAATCAGGTATGTGAGGGTTTTTTTTTTTTTTCCTCCCAAAGCAACAGGTGTGTTCTTGGAACAAAGTTCAACCCCTCATTTCTGGCTTATGTGAGAGGCAGCAGCTGCAAGCTTAATGCCAGTGACACATGGTTCTATAAGAGAGAAAAAATAAACTACTTGTTCAAAGTATTAAATAATGGGCAGATGGCCTATAGCTGCTTGTACTTTTCTTTGTGTGGGAGAATCAGGGCCTAAATCTTCAGATAACAAATGTCTCTCCCTCTCTGCTTCTTTCCTCCTTTATTTGTCTTCATTCTTTATTTTCTCTTTCCTTCCTCTCCACTTCCTTTTTTTTTTATTCCATTAAAAGAAATAACTAGTGAGAATAGAAACTTACGTAAATAGTACATATTCATAATTGAGTCTATTCTTTCCTTTGAGTTATACTATATAGAAGTTGATGAATGGAAAGAGGAAAAAAAAAAACTTCATTTAAAGTTACAGTGGATAACTCATTTTGCTCTAAAAAGAATTTAAAGGACTGTTAATGATGTAATTTAAAGAGTTAGAATGTAAATCCAACATTAAAAAGATTTATTTTTATAGGAAAGGCAGATTTTGTAGAGAGAAGGACAAAGAGAGACCTAATCTCTGGTTCATTCCCCAAATGGTTACAGCTGGAGTTGAGCTGAGCTGATCAAAAGCCAGGAGCCAGGAGGTCGCCTTCAGCTAACTTTGGCTAACTTCAGTGACTGGCCTCCCTTATTTACTTATTTATTTATTTATTTAACAATCGGTAGTTCCATAGACATACTTACCAGAAGGAAGAACCTTTGTTTTTCTTAGAAGTGGCAAACAGTCACACTGCCGTGAGGTGAAATAAGTGACTCTCCAGCTACAATCTTAGAAATTCTGGTATAGCTAGAGTCATTGGGAGGCCCAAAGATTGGTGGTTGGGTGTTGCATATGTTGACTAACTGGGGGTGGGGATCAAAGACAGAAGCTCCTTAGCACTTTTCCAGAAAACACCAAATCACCTTTCTTCAAGAATCAGAATTGCTGAGTCTATACTAAAATTCTTTTCCCAGCATTGTCTTGTGACTGAGAACTTCAGAGGTAGAGATGGGTTTTGGAATTCAATTCTCTGTGAGCAGTAAAGTCTGATGAAAAAGAACGTGGCAGTAACTTTCTTGTCAAGTTTTTCCATCTGGTTAACCTATTACATTTGATGTCTTTTAAAAGTATGCAAACAATAGCTAAACTCAAGGATGATGGCAATATTTTGAAAAGTACAAAAAGTGGGGCCCAGCGCGATGGCACAGTGGTTAAGGTCCTCGCCTTGCATGCCTGGGATCCCATATGGGCGCCAGTTCTAATCCCAGCAGTTCTACTTCCCTTCCAGCTCCCTGCCTGTGGCCCGGGAAAGCAGTCGAGGACGGCCCAAAGCTTTGGGACCCTGCACCCACGTGGGTGACCCGGAAAAGGTTCCTGGCTTCGGACCGGCATAGCATCAGCCGTTGCGCTCACTTGGGGAGTGAATCATCGGACGGAAGATCTTCCTCTCTGTCTCTCCTCTCTGTATATCCGCCATCCAAAAAAAAAAATAATAAAAATAAATCTTTAAAAAAAAAAAAAAAAGAAAAGTACAAAAAGCGTCAAAACCTGGGAGATGGCTGTAGATGAGCTTTAAAGGTCTCTTCCCATCCAGAGATGGGAATGCCACATCTTTGCTTTCCCAAATTCTTGACTCAAATTGTATGTCTTTGCTTTCCTTCAGTTACACTTTTCTTTTTTCTTTGATATTGTGGTAAGACATACTTAACATCAAATTTATCACCTTAATTCAGAAGTGTTAATAGTCTCCATACTGTTGTACAAAAGAAATCCCCCATACTTTTCTTTTTCTTTAACTTTCAATATCAAAACTCTGGCCCCATTAAACAATAGCTCCCCCTTCGCAACAATCTTCTCTTCCTTGAATCTTGACCACCTCAACTAAGCAGACCCAAACAGTACTGACGGTTTGGTATTTGTTTTCTGTTTTATTTACCCAGGTGTAACATCCTTAGTTCACTCATGCTGCAGTGTATGAGCAATGCAATGGAAACAAGGGTACAGGATCTCTTTGAGACCTTGCCATTGGTTTTGGATGACAGATATCCAGAAGTGGAATTACTGGGCTGTAGGATCCTTCACGCTTCATGTTTGGGAGCCATCAGTCTTTCCCACTATGGCTAAGCTATATATAGTTTTAAGATTTATTTATTTATTTTTCTTTGAAAGGCAGATATACAGAGAGGAGGAGAGACAGGGAGATCTTCCATCTGATGATTCAATCCTCAAGTGACCTCAATGGCCAGAGCTGTGCCGATTAGAAGCCAGGAGACAGCAAATTCTTCCAGGTCTCTCACATGGGTGCAGGGTCCCAAGGTTTGGGGCCATCCTTGACTGCTCTCCTAGGCCACAAGCAGGGAGCTGGATGGGAAGGGAGGCTGCCGGGATTAGTACTGGTGCCCCTATGGGATCCTGGGGCATTCAAGGCGAGGACTAAGCTATTTTTCATTCCCGCCGACAGTGCCTAAGGGTTCTGCTGTCTCCACATCCTCACCAGTACCTGTTTCTGCTTCCTTGCTAGCAGCCATTTCAAGGGGTGAGGTGCACCTTTAGGGAAGGAGGAGGATGCTGGGGAGTTAGATTAGCCAGAGGATCTTCTCTAAAACATCCATCCAAGGGCCCCGGGGCTCTGCCTAGTGTTGTGTCCTGTCACTGCAGGTTGAAGAAGACCGATTGCCTTGCTTTGGCTGAAAAGGCATTGCCCCTTGCTGTGTCTGTCCTTGCTCACCTTCTCACTGAGTCCTGGCTGAGCTTGGGCCTTCCTCTGAGCTGGAGCTCTCCCCGTGTCCTGGCCTGGAGCTCTCCTGCTCACCTCACCACACAGCTCCCTGCTTTTGTCCACTCGTGTCTTCGCTTACCTGTTGCTTCTGCAGATGCCCCAACAATGGTTCTACTCCGGGAATTTTCTGTATCATTATCCTTCTTCCTTATATTTTTGACATACTTACTACCTGATTTCATATATACACTAGAGGGCTTCAAAAAGTTTGTGGAAAATGGGATGAAAAGGTTTATTTGCTTTGGGGAGAAAAGTTTTTGAAAGCAAGCAGCATGTTTTCCTAAGCCTTTTTTTTTTTTTTTCCCTCGCATGAACTTTTAGAAAGCCTCTTGTCTACTGTTTGTTTCCCAGGGTATGGTCAGGCAAGGCAAGACGTGGCCTGTCTTACACGCACTCCCAGTTTCAAGAACAGAGCCTCACAATACGTTCTCAGGAGGTGTTGCAGGAATGATAAAATGAATGGTGCAAGCGTAAATTTTAGCCACCACGTGTCTAACCGGGATAAACAACAAAGCGAGAACACAATGGTAGGCTGCTGGCTCCAAACGCTCCCAGGGAAACGGGCAGCAGGTACTCACGTGGGTCTCCACATCCCCCGCCAGGATCCTGCTGTTCTTTAAAAACTCAGCCACCATGCTGTTCATCAGCTTATCGAAGGCTTCCACAGAGGGCGCCACACCTAGGGAGAGAAGGAGCCGGTTATTCTCTAGTGGTTTAATGCAAAGCTGGGGGGAGTGGGGGCGGGGAGGGCGGTGTGGCGTGGGAGCTGCGGGGAGAGGAAGGGTGTACTGCTATGGGTAATGTGTGAGTTCAGCATCATCCATGCCACTCTCCCTAGTCCTTCCCTGAAGTATTCCTTCACTCAGTCCATACTGAGCCCTCACAGTCCTCACTGGCTCAAGGAGATGCTGTTTTTCCACACTTCATCCTCCTGAGTAAGGACCATCCCCTGGGTCAGCTCACTCAAGTCTCCATCCAACCCGGGAGACTGGGCCACACGGTCATGGTGGTGCTGTTGAGACTTTGGAGAAGCAAGGAGAGCACATGACTGGACCAATGTTACAGAGCTAAGCAAAACAAACCCAGGCAGAGTTAACGCCAGGAGTGTACTGTCTTCTATGTCACCTGCCCAGGTACCACATGACACCTTAGAGTTACTGAGCAGGATAACGGAAAGACTGGAGTGGACTCTGGGCCTGGACACAAAGTTGATTCCACTCATGCCTTTTTCACTTCCTAGGATGGGGGGGAGGAAAGACGGCAGTGGTGGGGATGAAAACGCCTGCTGAGCCAACACATGGAGGGATTTATCTGCCGGATGCCTGCAACAGCTGAAATAGACAGCCCAGCCGATGAGCTCTGCAGTTTGTCCCCTGCTTTTAAATTCCTGATGGGCTGCGGGTGGGGGAGGGAGTCTATTCCTGGCTTCACCATCCCTCCCCCCGCCACCCCCACACCCCACCCACTGCCAATAGGGAGAAACAGCAGTACAGGCTATTAAGATCCAAACCAAATCCTAGGATTGCCTTTCTCATCGTGCACAAATGGACCAGTCAAGTGCTCCAATCTGTCGGATAAAGCTTCCTGCCTTTCTTTTTGCTCCCAGCTGTCCAGTTCCACAGGCCAAGGGCTAAGGGCAAGAACTACCCTCTGCTCCTCCACGCTCACTTATAAGCAAACTCGCAGAGCTGAGCTGCTTCATTCAAAACACTGGCGCACCAACTTCTGTTCCGTAAAATGGGGCACGGGGCTGGAGATTCCTTGTGAATCCTTTTGGAACCAGATAACAGGTCTGTTGTTTCAGGAGAGACCCGAGAGGCTCTGTGGAGTATTTAAAGCAGGAGACAGCTTCTGAGATGTGACAGAAAAGCTTCTACCTCACAGATAAAAGTGAATATTTTTCTAATTTGTTTTCATCGCTCTGCTCTGCCCACAGCTCCTCCGGGCACCCTTTCGTGGTCTGTCTCCCTAGACTGCATCCTTTGAGCATCCCTTCATCAAAGCGCTTTGAGGCTCTGCATAGTACAATACATTGAGAGCAAAGATGCTGCAGGCTTAGGGGTGTATGTGACTCATCTGAGACTTCATTGCACCTAGCACAGTGCTTGTCCCTTGGCAGACATGTAAAAATAGTTTTCAACAGTTCTGTTGAACTTACCTGATGGTCAGGGGGAAAAAAAAATCCCACATTCCGAAGCATGTTCACCAGCATTATAATAGGGCTGTCTTTGAATCTACGCATATAATACCTTTCCTTTTAAAAAGTTTAAAAAAGTAAATAATAATAATAAAAACTTGCAATGATATTTATATTTAAGCTGACATGATGTTCTGTGCATAAGGATTCATTGAGAATTTAAAGAAACATCAAAGCTATCTAAGAAAACAGACATGATACTGCTCAGAGATAGTGACATGTCTAAGCCATTCAGACATTTTACTAATTATTCTACTTAAGAATTTAAAAATAGGATAATGAGTTGTCAGCTAAGCTGCCTTAGAAGACCTCTGTTTTGGTAACTGATCTGCAGTTAAAGCAGATTGATTGAAACAGGTAAATATTTTAATTCTGTGTCTTCTAATGTTATTTAGAAGATCATTCTTTTTTCCCCCAGAACATTTCCTTTGAAAAAAGTTGCAATAAAAGAAAATACCACACACGGTCTAATACGTCTCTGAAGAAGCAAACTCCAAATTACTGGGAGAGATTTTCTTGTTTTTACTCAACAACACTGTACAATCTCCTGGAGCCTGGACGTTAATGTTATCTGTTCACAGGTCTTCTATTTGTGGGGTCAATTTTAGAGAATTGTATTTAATCACCCCTGGGGTGTCATGAAGCAAGGTCACTGAGGAGGACAGAAAAACACTGTCTTCAAAGACGAGTTGCCGAAACTCAGACACCAACCAGAGGTTTAAAAACAAAGAAGGCTCAGAAGAACTGTGCTATTGCAACAATATAGAGGGAACAGTGCAGGGGAGGGGAGGGGAAGGGAGGGGGAACAGTGCAGGGGAGGGGAGGGGAGGGGAGGGGGAACAGTGGAGGGGAAGGGGGGGAACAGTGCAGGGTCGGGGAGGGGAGGGGAAGGGAGAGGAACAGTGCAGGGGTGGGGAGGGGAGGGGAACAGTGCAGGGGTGGGGAGGGGAGAGGGAACAGGAAGGATGGAAGGGGAAATCCCCGAGCCCATGGAGCTCATGAAAAGTAAAAATTAAAAAAGAAAAAGACTTAAAGAAAGAATGTAATCATAGTTGGGTTTCATCAATGGACAAAATCTATGATCCTGGGCAGCCTCCCTTTGAACTACACCAACTTTGCCTCCATTCAAAACATTTTAATTTTCATTTCATTTGGGGAAAGCCTGATGGTATATGAAGTTAGTGACCCAAATGGAGTGGTTCCGCCAGCAGACCTGCTACCCCACCAGCACATCTGTGCTCACACAGTAGCTTCTGTCCCACGGCTTGCAGCACAAGGCCTGGCTCCAGCTACGCCTGAAATCCGAGCTGCTCCACTCTAGCCTTCCCTGGGAAAACCCTTTTGAAGCCTCCTCTTCCCCCAATGCTTTCCTGGGCTCTCCTAAGCCTGAAGAGACTCGAAGTGGGTCAGATAAGAAGGAAAGGCACGTGTGACAAGAACAGACTTTCCATATCAAAGATAGGCCGCCTGCTGACATTTGAACTTCAGATAAGCAATGAATAGATTTTTTAGAATAAGTATGTGGACTATAGCTCCTATGATATTTGGGACCCACTTATTCAAAAAAGAAAAACCACCTGTTCTCCATCTGAAATTCAAATTTAACTGGATAGTCTATACTCCCATTCAACTGGAATTTTACACAAGGAGTTGAAAAAAGTTTTGTAAGAGAACTTGGAGTGTTTGCCACAGAAGCTTCTCTGGAAGAAGCAGCTGATTTTCTAAACTTCCATGAGTTTTAAAAAGTCTCTTCCTGAAGAATCATAACAGCCACATGGTTTCCAGAGCGTATCTGGTTCGGAGGAGGCAAAGGTGAAACCACCGGATGTGGCCATATCACCTCATTGTGCCTTCCCATCAGACCTTCTGCTCTCAAAGCTGCAGTGGCAAACGTAACAGCTTGTTTAAAATCTTCACAATGCTGACTCCTTCCAACTCACATTCTTTTGCTTTTACAGAACAAGTAAGGGGTTTTTTTAAAAAAATTTTTTCTTCTTAATTTTATAGTTGTGTAGTTTCTCCCCTCCCCGTTGTCTTTGGTGTTTTACAATAATCTCCAGCTTTAGTCTTGACTCCAGCGTTCTGCCCTCGATGTGTGTCAAGCCACGGCGGGCATGCGCTATGGGAGACAGTCTAGCATTTTGTTGTCCGGGTATATTTGACAGTCTGATTGGGGACCTATTTGTATTCGAATGTAGAGAGGCATCCTGCAGTTCTTTGATTCCTGGCACTCTGCTCTCCTTTGCAACATTCATTGATGAGATTACAAGTGTATATTTATTTACCTTTATCTCTTTTAATTTTGCATTCCCAATTTACATTCCAATCCAGAACATTCTATCCTCTCTTGCTAGTTATTTGGTTAGTCTAGCTAGCGGTTGAAAATGCTGCAGCAGTACAAACACTAGAAGGAAACATGAAAGGCATTAGGACCTTCAGGGGCAGAGACGCTGGTCATTTGTGTGGAGTTTGATTCCTTCCTTTCTCTTTTTCAGGGGTTGTAGCTCTGGTTCAGGTCATGGTCACATATAAAGCAAGGAGTAGAAGCCCTGAAGGCAGTAGGGGGAACGCATCTGGAGAAGGAAATGACGGGAGCAAAAGGAAGCGACCTGGCCGAGTGAAGCACGCGGTCCTTACCTCCGTTGACGCCATTGACTTCGCCACAGTGGCCTGGAGGCCCGTGGCACTCCGCGGACAGCTGCTCCAGCCGGCTGACCGCTTGCTCAAGTCTCTCCATCAGGCCCTGCATGTCGGCCATTCTGCAACAATAGGTACACAGAGACCGCGTGAGCGTCGGGAGGATGCGCAAACCGACAGCGCGGCAGGACACGCTCTGATGGCTCCGACTGCCCAGAGAACAGGGATGCACATCAGGAGAGTGTGTGAAACTCACATGCTGATTTTGATGTTTGCTCAACGGTTTCTGAACTATAAGACACAAACACCATTCCCTCCGTAGCACTGTCAAGTGCTGGCGTGGGAGCCTCCAAAGGTACTTCAAAGCGAGTACGGAAAAAAGAGAATTACAAGATTATTGTGGTACAAAAACTGCTTGAAATCAGTGTGTACTCTTTTTCATCATTTGCGTTTTCCAGAATTTTCAAGATTCTTTGTATACATGAATTTCTATTGAGAGAGAGAGTGTGTGTGTATGACCGAAAGAAAGAGACAGAAAGACATATCTTTCATCGACCGGTTCACTCCCAAAATACCCACAGCAGCTGAGTTAGGCTGAAGTCAGCAGCAGCCGGGTCTCTCTCATGTGGGTGGCAAGGAATCAACCCAGTACTACACCAGCAGGAAGTTGGATGGGAAGCAGAGTAGCTGAGACTCAACCTGGGACATCCTGTGGTGGATTAACCTGCTATGTTACAACACCTGCCCCAATGGTGGCAATTCTGATTCTGCTAAATCAAGGGAGCACATTTTAATTATTGCTGTTAATTCCTTCTGTTAAAATATGAGTTCTTCTTCATTCATACCTTGTTTCTGCTTCCGCTGAGGTATGCCGAATTATCAGCACTCTGAAGGATTTTTTAAAATGTAATTTTCTTTTTTGTAAGGCTTTCTTTTTAAAGGACAAATTTAGCAAAGTCTGGAAATAGAATCTTCATTTCCCTAGTACTTTTCAGTTGGAATAAACAAAGATAAAAATGGCTGTGGTAGGCCCGGCAGCGTGGCCTAGCGGCTAAAGTCCTCGCCTTGAACGTTCCAGGATCCCATATGGGCACCGGTTCTAATCCCAGCAGTCCCACTTCCCATCCAGCTCCCTGCCTGGGAAAGCAGTCGAGGACTGCCCAAAGCCTTGGGACCCTGCACCTGTGTGGGATACCTGGAAGAAGTTCCTGGATCCTGGCTTCAGATCGGCATAGTATCGGCCGTTACGGTCACTTGGGGAGTGAATCATCGGATGGAAGATCTTCCTTTCTGTCTCTCCTCCTCTCTGTATATCTGACTTTGTAATAAAATAAATAAATCTTTAAAAAAAAATGGCTGTGGGAGTTGAGGATGGAAGCGGAGCTTGGGATCCACTTTGCCTGGTTCCAAACAGATACTTAACCAGATATGTGTAACTGGGCCTAGCACGTGCATCTGCATGCTTCGGAGGGGTGGAACCCCAGTCTGACCTGTCCATGCCCACAGGAGCCAGCTCCTGGGTACCACAGTCCTACCTACATTTGCTTCTGCCTACTTCTGGTGTCTATGGTTACATGGTATCCATGGTTCTTCTTATTCTTTAGAACTTGTCACAGGTGGGCATTTGGTACAGTGGTTAAAATGATGCTTGGGATGCCTGCACGCCAGCTTCCAAGCCAGCTTCCTGCTGGTGCGAATCATGGGAGACAGCAGTTGGTGGACCAGGTAGTGAGGTTCTTGCCCTCTTTGTGGAAAAAACCTGGTGGAATTCCAGGCTGCTGCCTCTGGCACGGCCTCGGGTGTTCTAAGCATTTGCTGACGAGGCTATAGAATGGGAGATCTCTATTTCTTTGCCTTTTAGATATATAAAGAATTTTTCAAAATTGAGCAGAGAGTAAGCTTTTTCATTGGCTGGTTCACCACCATCCCTGCCCCCCACACCCCGTCCAGTACAAGTGGCTACAATGGCCACAGCTGGGCTGAGCTGAAGCTGGGAGCACAGAATTGCATTAGGTCTTCCACAGTGGTAGCAGGGTGTCAAGTACCAGGACCAGCAGCTGTTGCCTTCCCCACCATGTTAGCAGGGAGTTGCAGTGGAAGTGGAGCTGCTGGGACTTGAACTAGCCCACTGTGCCACATCTCTCTCTCTGTCTCCCTTTTAAACAGTGAACTTCCCCCTTCTCAGCAACAGAGGAACAGCTGGATATTTCTGGAACCCAGACCCTGCTGTCCTCAGCACAGGCAAGTCCCACTGTTCTAAGAGGCATCGATATATATGTTTTTTACTTTTGGCTGCCAACCAGCTAACACATCTCTCTTCTGTATTTTGTAGACCATTCACTTGGAACTTAGGCATAATGACGGGGGAGTGACCAACGTTTTAAAGAAAGTAGTGATTTTAATCAGATGGTGCTGTGTCCCCAGTCAGCTGGTCACCAGACTGGGTGGGAGTGCTGGCCCCTCCAGAAAATCACCTCTCCTGAAACTGCCATCGGTTACTCTCTTTCAAAATTTAGAGCAGTGTGCTCTGCATCAGCAGCTAATCCTAAGGGGATTCAGAATTAGAAGGCTCTCATTTATTCTTTCCCTCCTCACGTCAGAGCATTTACTTTCATTGAAATAGAAGAGGAGAGGGAGAAAAAGGAGAAAAGAATTTAATGGAATCCTTTACGTAATCTCTCTGCAAGGGCCTTGAGTTTCCTGGGGCGTGGGGGAAGGCCATTTGAAAAGTGACAAAAGCCCCTCCATTCTTTTAAAAGCTGTCCAGCTGTTCGCAGTTATCTCTGTTCCCTGCCACTCCACCTGCCAAATGTTACCACAGTGGCCCTTGTCCATGCAGGAACAAAAAACGTCTTTGCCTGGTTAACCAGTTCCCACCCCTTTACCATGGAGAGCTTGCAGGCCACGCTGCCGGGGAGGCCTGTTGTTTCACTGGGACCTTGGTTTGCTCAGCCTCCCGGACAAGCCCCAGATGGACTGAAAGCATTCAGTGTGGTGAGACCGAGTGAGCGGGGCTGGGCAGATGGGGGAGAAACAGTCTGAGTGCCTCACGGACGTCACCTCTTGTAAAATCAGCATGAGCAAGACTCTCAAGAGATGGAAATTGTATAGCTCCTGTGAGGAAGCTCAAAGATGCCTCTGGGTTTCATGCTGTAGAAAAGTTTCTGAGAAAAAATAATCCAGGCAAAAACAGACTAAGCCAGGATATACATGGGCAGTCTCAGGAGGCTGATGGAGTCCGAGATAGTCATGCCCTCCCCTCTGGAAATAAATTCTTCCTCTCCCTCTTGAGTTGCTCTCATTCTCTGCATCTCTCATTCCCTCTGTGTCTCATTTGCGTCTTGCAATCACTCCTATCTCTGTCTGTGTATTTGTCTCTCTCTCCACCTCTCAGGTCCTTCTCATCTCCTCCTCCCTCTGCCTCTCTCTCTCTCTCCAGGCACGCTCTCAGCTGTTATCCTGGCTCTCAAGAACAAGAAAAGACCAGAGCTGCAGATTCTCTAAATTCTTTCCAGGCAGTGCCATCCTTTCAAAGTACATCTGGCCAAGTTTTGTTGGGAGCCAGAGATAAAGACCCAGGCTAAGGAAATGTACAGGGCAGTCAAGGCAAACGCAGACTCGAAAGTGAGAGTGAAGAATGAGACAGGAGCAGGTGCCCAGGAGCCTGAGCCAGGGTACCAGGATAGCAGAGGATAAGATGAGATCGCTGGAGTAACATAGACTAGACTTAGATGAGGAGCAGAGAAGCCAAATCCAGGGATGGAGAATCCAAAGATGGAGTCAGATGGTCCAGCTCCAACATGGCATCCCAAGAGTCCTGTCACCTAATCCTACCAAAAGACAACCACAGGAGAAGTGTCCAGAACCTATGGCTCATAGAAACATCAAACACAGCCCAGAATGTAGGGCACGTGGAAGGAATCTGAGAATTCATAGCATTTCACAACTGCCTTCTAAAGATCTGTCTTAGGAAACCATATGGGAGACTCATGGGTGATACAGGCAGTTGGTATTCTCTTGTACCTTTTGGCATTCTGGGATCAAGAAAGTATTTTCCTGGGAGAAAAGATGGTTGTCATTGTTTACATTTTTTTTTGTCCCATTGGTCATCTCATCGTCAAAGTACAGCTGCTGAGCTCCAAACACTGTCCAATTTTATGTCCAAGGTCACACCCATAGTAAAATGACATTTAGAACATAACAGAGACTTTTTTTTTAAAGATTTATTTATTTGTTTGAAAGAGTTTCAGGATGAGAGGAAGAGATTGAGAGAGACAGATCTTCCATTAGCTGGCTCCCTCCTAAGATACCTGGAACAGCCAGGGCTGAGTCAAACAGAAGCCAGGAGCCAGAGCCAACACATTTCATGTGGATCTCCTAAATGAATGGCAGGGGCCAAACCCTTGGGCTAGCTTCTGCTGCTTTCCCAGGCACATTAACAGGGAGCAGGAGTGGAGATGGAGCAGCCGGGGCACAAACTAGCACCCACATCAGATGTGGGTGTGTTAGGTTGTGGTTTTATCTAGTATACCACAAAACCAGCCCTTTTTATTATTATTTTTCTAACAATTCCCAGAAAGGGAACATCCCAAGAGAGGGGATGATCCATGATGCTGGATGGTTTCTTCCCACCTGAGAGAACAGATGTGCTATGGAACCCGAATTTAGACCTGACTCACTTGGGCTTGGGGGACGTTGGGCAAAGAGCTTCACTCGGCTGCACTTCACTTACCACCTGTACACAGGGCACAGGTACACAAAGTGTGGCACATGGTCAGTGAACAACAGGTTGGCTGCTACGAAGACATCCCACCTCACGGCGCTCTCAGTCGGATGCCTACACATGGGAAAAGCCCGAGAGAGTTTCTAGTGGGCACATGCGACTCAGAATCTTGGATCTTTTTGCCTCAATCATGAACTTCTTCCTCCACTATGACAGAGGTTTTACCCCAAGTATTTTTTTTTAAAGATTATTTTTTTATTGGAAAGGCGGATATACAGAGAGGAGAGACAGAGAGGAAGATCTTCCGTCCCATGATTCACTCCCCAAGTGAGCGCAACGGGCCGATACTATGCCGATCCGAAGCCAGGAGCCTCTTCCGGGTCTCCCACGCGGGTGCAG